AAGGTAAATAGACAGGGAAACCAATGGAAGATCAGTGATATTTCATTAAGCTTTGTTTATGCAGACATTAGTTGGTGTCATCTACATTGATAAGAATGATCTCCTCTTGCTTATTCCAGAGAGGGGATGGGGAACACTTTTATTAAGGGAGATTTATGCCCTACCTTTCATCATATGGGGAGGAAGTGAAAAGGTTTTTCTATTTCTATTATTTTTTATTTGCTTTCAGCTCAGAATAACCCTTTTGCCAAAGTGACGTAATTTCCGGGTGGCATATTTTGATCTGCTTAATGATTCCAGGGAGAAACCATATAAATGTGATAGAGGTAGGGAAAATTTCCACCAGAAGGCAAACCTCAGAGAGCATCAGTAAACTCACAGGGAATTAAACATGAATGTAATGAATATGGAAAAACTTTTATCCAGACATCAAATTCTGCGTTACATAAGAGAACTCACACACATAAACAGCCCAGTAAATGTTATGGATCTTGGAATGCTTTCAGCCAGAAATCACACTTTTGAGAACATTGCCAGGAAGACACATTCCCAGTTTATTCAGTCCTACATAGAAGGGAAAGTGGTTTTATTTTTTCTTGGGACAGTTAGGCCACACTTGAGCAATTACACCAGAACACAGGAAGTCTTTACCATTATGTTTCTTTACAGGCAAACATCTATAGTTTCTTGAGGTTTTTCCTATGAACTCTCAGAGGCTTAGTGATCATCTCAAAATGTTGAGCAACCGTTGTCAGAGTGGTGACTTTATAACATTGACTTCTGCAAACCAAAGTTGTAGAACAGAAAAAAAATCATATAATAATGAGCAAAATGATAAGACCAATTTGAAGAATAGACCTGAACCAGGAGTCAATACCTGAGGGCAGTCAGCTGAAGACATTAAAGAACTATGAGGTGTCAGTAGGCACTGTATTTAATGACTTGTGCCCATATTTTATCTAATTCCATCTCTATTTCCCCAGAGGTGTTTTATTAAAGTATAACAGGAAGTATTAACACTAGAGCAAATCCTACCTACCTTGTTTAGCCAGATGGTTTCAACAAAATAACATCCAACCTAAGAGAAAGCCTAGAAGAGTTTATTGGAGCCAAACTAACAATTGCCAGGAAGGAAAGTCTCACTCAACGGATTGAGAAAATGCTCTGCAAATTGGTGGTTTGTGGCTTATTTTATACATAGAATCAAAAGAGAAGAGTTACATGAAAGCCAGTGGTGGTAGATAAGGGGGTGGGAGAAAGCAAAGCTTGAAAGCTCTGGGGTTGGACAAAAGTAAATTAGAGAAACAGATATTTCTTCTACATAGGTGGATACCTGAGAGTTGATACTTCACTTTTTATAGCACATAAAGATGGTAATTAGGAGAAGACTAACAATATGGGAATTCTGTAGTTTCCTGCTCTGGTCTGGGATTGAAAAAGAATTACTCAAGACATTCCAAAGGCATGTTATCTTAGATGTAAAAAGGCAATAGGCTTACTTAAGGTAAAGATTGACCTTTGTGAATGAAGGTACAGACTAAAGATGTGACTTCCTGCCATAGTCCACCTTAGTTAAGAATTTTTATGTTCACACCATCCTGTGTGGTTGTGTTCAGTCTTCTGAGATTGTCAGTTTTAACATGCAGCCCCTTTTCCATCCACAATGGTCAACAGCCACTCTTGCGTAATATAAGTCATGCAAGGAAATTTATAGATTGTTCCTTGTTGGCTACTACTTTGGTTGTAGCTCCAGCAATTCCGCTAAAGTTTTTTGTTTTTTGGTTTTTTGTTTTGTTTCGTTTTTAGCTGAGCCATCCTGCCACCTGTTGGCAGCTCAGCGGCAGCTCAGCTTGGGCCGGGCATCAAACCGCTGTTGTTCAGAGCTCGCACTCTTTAGCGAGTGAGCTCTTAACCAACTGAGCCACTCGGTCGGCCCCTCCTCTAAGGTTTTTTATCAGCTCCTAATCATGTATTTATTTATTGCAATACCTGCCCAAGGAGAAAGTGTTCTTCTAAATCTCATTAAATTTCTGGGCATTGACTATGTGTGTAACCAGCTCCACATTTTTACCTGCCAAGTCAGTCTAAAGATGACGCCTCATGTTGAGTTATATTTCCAGGCAGTAATTCAGGGGCAAAAGGAAACAATAACATTATAGTGAGTGCTTGGACTCTCATATTATTTGTGAGATAAAAAAAGAACTAAAGTAAGGAAAGAAGGAAAAATGGTCTTGATTATAAAGGCCTTGTCTGGGTCTTGGGTTAGCTGTCCATAACCGATGTCAACTGTTTTACTTCCTAGTAATTTAAAGTTTCAAATCCTTGTTGTTGAGCAATCCAGTTAGATGCAGGAGCTTTCTCTAAATGGGAAACATGAATCCAAGTGTCAACACCATTAAATTTGTCCATACACAGATTAGTTAAGAGTACCTGATAACGCACTTTTCATCTTGGTTGTAAACAGTCTATTTGAAAGTGGCTTTTCCACTATACATAATCTTCTGTAAGTTTTGGTTCTTAATTTCTTTATGTTATATATATTGTATCACAATTTTTTAAATGCAGCTTTAAAAAATAGCTGAGATCTCACCTCTGCCAATGGAGAGTAACTGGTACCTGTGTGCTATAAAAATTGACAAAATAGGAGGCAACTGTTTTCTGGCATTGTAAATTTCAGGGCAGTGATACTTGACAGAAGTGAAATGCCACTTTTAGACCCTCAGTCTCCTACCTCTTTCTACCTCTTTGCTTTAAAAATATTTTTCTGATTTACACAGAGTTGGAGCTCAAGTGAAGGTAGTAGTCTTGCTGAAATAAAGAAGTAACTGGAAATTTGTGGGGAAAAATACTTAATACAAGAAAGCTCGTGTGTGTGTGTGTGTGTGTGTGTGTGTGTGTGTGTGTGTATGGTATGGAGGGGAAGGGAGTGGCTGAGTTCTATTTCAAAATAAAAATGGGTCCTTGGCCGAGAGTTGTGTTGAATGTGTGCAGGCCAAGCCTCCATGATACCTACTATAGGTTGTGTGTTTTGGGCCTGAACGAAACCATGACATTTAGGTGTCATGCACTGATGTAAGACTTAAGCACAGCTGGTGAGGGCAAACAAGTCTTTATAAAGGTGCCAAGGGGGTTGCAGTTATATATTTATTTTTATAAAAACCTATGTTTCCTTGAAGAACTAGTATTTTCCTAGAAATATTTAAATCTTCAAAGTTACTTATTTTACGTGAAGGCTGTGGGTATGGCCCTAGTGTGTCCCAGTGCCTGCCTGGTTGTCCTAAGGCAGCTCAAACATATTCTACCCTCTCACTTTCTCTTCTTCCAGGACCTGTATTGTTACAGTAAAATTGTTCAATGGCTTAGCAACAACTATGTGTTAATGTGTGAGAGACATGTCATGTCTTTCAGCGCTTCTCTAATTATTGTTATTTTTGTCCTAATGACATTTTGAATAATTCTTTTAAGTAAAAATATGCTGAAGAGAGAAAACAAGCTGACAAAATATTTTGAGATTCAAATCTGAATTTTAGCAAGGAACTTTTAGCGTTCTCATGTAGAAAAGTGTCATTTATTTAAGTTCCCTTTAATGTCAGGAGTAAATCTTTATGCTGTGTTCTTTTTTTTTTTTTTTAGGTTTTCTTATTGGGGAATCGAAATTGGGGAAGGGAAACAGACAGGTAGACAAATTGCTGTTTTGTTCTTCAGTCTAGTTGTGGAGGACGTTGCTTCACTGGCCCATGTTGGCATGATCATTGCACTCTTCCCCAGGTGAGGCAATCGGTCGCTGGTCATTGGTTGGCCGCTCTGGGGGGCTTAATGTCATCCTAAGGGTGAGTCCTTGAGCTGTTAGAAAATGTATTGTTTAGCAGCAGTTCTCAACCTTTCACAGGGGTCGCCTAAGACCATCATCGGAAAACATATTTTCGATGGTCTTAGGAACCGAGATACCGCTCCTCTATCTGTCTCCAGTCCCACATGCAGATACGCCCACATACGAGTACCCGGCGACCCCTGTGAAAGGGTCGTTCGACCCCCAAAGGGGTCGCGACCCACAGGTTGAGAACCGCTGGTTTAAGGGGTGGGTGAGTGGCTCAGTTGGTTAAGAGCTCACTCAGGAGTGCGAGCTCTTAGCAACAGGTTTGCCAATTCGATTCATGGCCCGAGCTGAGCTGTCCCTGATCTGCTAACAGGTGGCGGGATGGCTCAGCTAAAAAAAAAAAAAAAGAAAGAAATGTATTGCTTAAATCTTTATATACCAAAGTTGATAATCCTTTGAGAAGCAGGCTTAGAGAATCCTAGCTAGAGTTTGATGAAGGAGAGAAAAATCTTTCTTTCATATTGCTGTGCTCCATTTTCAATTATTTTATTCCCATGTCACAGCTTCATTCCTAAGGGATATCTTTATGAACCTTAAATTCCCATGGCAGCTTTGAATTTAACAGGTACACTCTTAAAGGTGGTACCCATATTCTCCTCCCCCTTTAACTTTGTAATGTAAATTGCAAGCATTGAGAAAACCATACATTATGCATTTACCTCCACCCATTTCCTCTACGTAAAAAACTTATAATTTTGCCACATTTGCTTTGTCTAATGGATTTTCCTGAATGTTTGTAAAATAAATTTAAAACATATAATTATAATCCTAAATATTTACTATGCGTGCCTTTATAAAACCAGTATGTTCTTCTGTGTTATTTCAATATTATTTTTACACTTAAGAGTAACCCGGTTCATATTCAAGTTTCCCGATTGTAAGCAATGTCTTTAAGAGCTGTTTATTCAACTGGGATTTTTTTTCCATGACCACACATTGTATTTGGCACCAAACTTCAAGTTTAACCCCTAACGTTTGCGAATTCAAGAGAGATCAAAGCAAACATTTTACAACCACCTAAAAAAATGTGAAAACGCGGTTAAATTACGAAAAGGAGCAAGAGCAGTGTTTTATGGGAAATGTAGTCTTGTATGTAACCTGCGGGCCGCGCAGGACCCTGGGAATGGGTCTTCTGGGCTCCGCCGGCTCCCGTACACCCCTAGTCCCGCCTCCCTCCTTCCGCCCGGTCTTTAGTCACGCGGAGATCACCTCGTGGACCTCGGCATCCTCACGGGCTCCGACGATTCGCATGTAAAGTTAGAGCGCGGGGATG